AAAAAAAAAAAAAAGAAAAAAGTTAAACACAAAAAATTCCCACTCTCACCCACATTCAATAGTTAAAACCATTGCTTAAATCTTTAGGTTTTATCCCTCTTTTCAGCCTTAACCTCATACTATGTGAAAATGTGGAACAGCTTGGATTTAGTGGGTCTGATACGTACCAGGAAAAGTCCCTGGTCTTTTATAGGAGGAGAACACATATTTATTTTCCTTCTGTGATGCAAATTTATGCTTTCTATTCAAGCTTGGGATAAGACCAAGAATAGTAAATCATAATTTTATAAGATTTCTAAGAAGTAAATTATATAGGGACATAATGGGGATCTGACTCTTATTTTGAGGGATATGTTTTAGAGCACTTTGCATACCTGAGGTTATAGGCATTAATATCTTATTGCTTGTTTTGGTGAGAAATAAAAATGAACAGCAACTTGAGAATGGCCATTTCTTTAGAAATAGTAATGGATCAGAAATGCTTAAAAAAAGAAAGAAAGAAACCCTTCCAGCTCTAGTTTTTCCTACTTATTTCTAGGTCATTGGCTGGGAAACTAAGAAAGTAAATGCTTGGAAGCTCTTATTCTTCATCTGTAAGATTCTTGGCCTGCCTATTTCACAAGATTATTCTATGAATCAGATTAGATAATGTTTATCAAAACACTTTGGCACTCATAAAATTTGATGGTGCTGTAAGATACTGTATTATTATGTTGCAAACCAAATTTCCAAACAGAACTCCTTAGAAAGGTCCAACAAAATCTTCCTTAACAGCAAGTACTTTGTTTTTTTCACTTTCTTTCATTCTTTGGCTTTGACTTATCCTACACTGGAATTCAATAATCGTTGAGGATTAGGTATAAGCTACTTAAGTTACAATATGAGATGTTCATGGTCTCTAAAACAAAGTGGTTTTAAATCAGATTATTAAGGGAAAGAAAAGCAGATAATAGGACCCCAAATGAACCCCATTTAAAGCTCTGCTCTTTCATAGACTTTGAGAGTTACTGTGCTTCCATTCTTACATCACCTGCCTAGATTCTGGTCTACCCTGTGGACTTCCTGTTTCTGAATTTTTACGTAGTAATAGAAAGTTTAAAAAAAAGTTTTTAAGTATTACAGAGCATTTGAGTTTTTACTTAAATAGACATCTCTCTCCCACTCTCACCTTCACAAAATCTAAATGTGATGCACCTCTGAAAAGGTTTGAAAGTTACTTTGGAACCTTAGAGGTGCGGGTCAGTTTACCAACAATCCCTGGGAAGTCCCTTTGGCAATTAACAGAAACTCTCAGATTGCCTTCCTTTGTCCTTTGAGAAAATAGGGCTACTTTATTCCACAGTGCCTGAAGATTTCCTTTGGAATCTGTTTATTTCAGTGCTTTGAAACTTATAAATAAGACTAGCTTTTAGAGGAATATTATGCACTTAAAAAGTCCCCAGTAGTCTCTAAGTCATTTGTAAAAACTTTCTATATAAATGGATTATATACCTGTCACAACTCTTAAAAACTTCATGTCGATCCTAAAAGAGTTCAATGTAGACTCTCTGGAAACGGCTTTCAGTCATGAGACCACACATGTGATGAAAGTGTTTTGAAAGCTCTAAGGGTACACAGATGTGCAGTACAGTTACTTCTTTTATCACTGTTACTGCCAGGGAAAAACTGTTTTCTCAGTGTCAGACTGATGTTCCAATCTGATGACCTAATATGCCTTCCCTTGCTTTCTAAGCTTTTATTATTTGAGTACATTGAAGAGACAACAGTGGCTGCCCTTTTGTTCTCAACTGTTCATAAATAAATAAATATTTGAACAGATATTTACTAAACACCAATGTGCCAGGCACTTTTAGGTGCAAAAATACAGAAATTCAATCAGCAAGGCTTATATTACCTTCACCTTCAGGATGTCTGAAGTCTAGAACAGGAAACAAATATTTAACAAAGAGCAGTACAAATGCTATTTAATTGTTGTTGTAGTGTGTGCTACAGTGGGAAAATAAAGCCTTCAAGGAGAGTTAATAACTGAGAGGGCAATGATACCTTGGGGTGGGGGTTAGGAGGCTCCTTCCTGAAGAAGTGATATGTAACATGAAAGTCAAGTGAGCCTCAATGTTTGTGTGACTTCTGCATACAATGTAAGCATTTTATTTCTGATTGTCTTGATGTCAGAGTTTCAGAGTATCTTTCATCCAAGGCTTAACTTGAGAATTTAGGCCAGAGAAGGCCTGCCATAGTATATAGGAAGTTATAGTTTATGGAGCAGATAACTAACCTACCCTAAGGCTGGTCACTGATTCATTCATTAACAGGTCTTTGTGTGCCTACTGTGTGGTTAGCAATGCAAGTAGTAGCAGTAGTTTAATTAAGAATGATTTCATTACTGATATTATACTTCTTAATTAAAGGTTCTTCATCTTCAAATGAAACTTTTTATTATATATTAAATAACCCTGGTGGTAGTACTATGTTTCTGATTTTGTGCTTATGATTGTTTTAAACCTAGCCTATAGTGCTGTCCTGTGGACTTCAGATTCCTATGGGGTAGGTTTGTAGGATGGGTACCAGTTTAGTTTAAGGAATTCTCAAATCCATTTCTGAATTTTTTTTTTTCAAATAAGAGTGATAAAACAGTCCAACCACTATCATGCAGGTAGTCCTTACAGTTTTTTTATAACCTTAATTCTCATAGGGAAAAAGGATAGGAGCCCCGAAGCAATGATGGCCTAACAGGTTCAGGTTAGTGTCCCATATTTTTAGCAGTAAGTGATAATATATACATTCTTTTGGAGTTTTGGTGGACAGTATAGTTGTGGAGTTTAGCAAAAGTAACTAGAGCTTGAGAATGTACATTATACTTAAGCATTTTTAAAATCATAATCCTTAATTGTGTAGTTTAACAAACTTTAAATCCTAAAACAATTGTCAGATTTTACCTGTGTATTGTTCTTTTAGTAAGAGCTCCTTCAGCTTGTTAATTTATTGGAAAATCCAGAGTAGGTGTGTTTTCTTCATTTTCCCCTGGTATTTCTCATGCCACTTTTATTTTATACATTATTTATTATTTAAAGCATTTGTGTTGGATTCTAGCCACACTTTTTTTTTTTTGTTTTTTAAGTAAGTGTTTTGTAACATTTCCTACCAAAAGCCTTGTGAGGGAGAATATTACTTTTTCCTTAACTGGAGCAATTTGGTGCTAGATTGGCCCA